CATCATTGTGGAAACAGAGCTTTCATGAGGTTGAGATTGCTTGAACATGTTCTCTTATAAGAGAGCTCCTTCTGTTTTCAGATTTTTCTAACACTAGGTAGGTGTGAGTTTCATTAAATGCAGGAGAAAACGGGAAATCATAGTAGAATCTGGGAAGATGCACAGCTCGATCCAGATGACTTCCCAGCTTTGAGGACAGAATTGGGAGTTGGGGTGGGGGCCAGGGAAGATGTTGCAAATAGAGGTCATTGCTGCAGTCCCATGATTAGGGCATGCGTGTGTAAATATTCACACATCATACAGTCTCTATGTGGTGCACTGACACTTTCTCTGTGTCAACATGGATGGAGCACAAGACATGCCTTATAATATGTACTCTGAAATGTAGGTGCTATTATCCACATTTCACAGCTGAAGGTAATGGGTCTGTGGAGTAGCTTGTTCAAAAGCATATATTTTGTATGATATTAGATGGTCTCAAGGCCCTGTGTGAATCTAAGTTTATACCTGTGACATGAAAAATACAGGAAAGTGTCTAATGCTGTTAATAATTATCAGTGTGATTTTAAATGTCTTTTGGAACAAAGCTTGGTAAAACTTAAGTAAATGGCATTGCCTCCTCCCACCGGATGTTTTTGTCCAGACATCCTTTCCTTACTAAACTCTGTAGATCCACTCTTCACACCTGCCTAACTCAGAGGCCTATGCCTGTCTTATCTAAGTGCCCTCCACATTTCACCACCTCTTTCTTTTGTCTTTCTTTTTGAGATGGAGTCTCACTCTGTCACCCAGGCTGGAGTGCAGTGGCGTGATCTCGGCTCACCACAACCTCTGCCTCCTTGGTTCAAGTGATCCTCCCGCTTCAGTCTCCTGAGTAGCTGGGATTAGGGGCACAGCCACCATGCCCGACTAATTTTTGCATTTTTTGTAGAGATGCGGTTTCGCCATGTTAACCAGGCTGGTCTAAAACTCCTGACCTCAGGTGATCCACCTACCTTGCCCTCCCAAAGTGCTGGGATTACAGGCATGAGCCTCTGCGCCTGGCCTCCCACCACCTCTTATCCATAACCACCAGCTTCTCCCCTCCTTCATGGAAATTTCCATACTGAAACTTCTCCTTCGTCCTGGCTACCATGCTCTGTAGGATATCCCAGCAATCTTCCTAGTATCAATTACTCCCTGCCCAGTTCTTCACTGTTCCTCTATAGCCCCCATCACTTCCATTTGCTGTTTTAGTTGCTCACACCTACCCAGAGGTTGTAGACCTCTGGAGGGCTAAAGTATCATTTTATTGACATAATGGTATGTTGCAAAGGGTTCTTGGATAGGTGATCAGGCAACCAGAGTTCCTTTTAGGGCTTGGGCATGAGCTTGAGGGAACTGTGCAGATCCAGCTAAGTTCTCAAGGCCTCACTTGCCTTCCCTTTAAAATGTATGGTTTGGCCTAGATTTTCCTACACATCCTCAGAATAATCAATAATATGATGTGGATATTTCTTTTCTTTCCTTTTTTAAAATTTTTGAAACAGGGTCTCACTCTGCTGCCCAGGCTGGAGTGCAGTGGCGTGATCACGGCTCATTGCTGCCTCAACCTCCTGGGGCTCAAGCTATCTTCCTGTCTTAGCCTTCTGAGTAGCTGGGACCACAAGCACAGGCCAACACACCTGGCTATTTTTTTTTTTTAATTTTTAATTTTATTTTTAGAGACAGGGGTCTCACTTTGTTGCCCAGGCTGTTCTTGAACTCCTGGGCCTCAAGTGATCTCCCACCTTGGCTTCCCAAAGTGCTGGGATTACAGGTGTGAGCGAGTGTGCTCAGCTAGGATGCAGATATTTCCATTCTGTACACGCAAGCCTTGAATAACTCTGTAAACCCCGAAGGTCAGCCAAGGGTTTCCAGTTATTGTTGCTTGGGTGGCAGGAAGGTGATGAAAATGAGAAAAAATGCATAGTCATCATTTAAGCTACCATAATTGTCTTCCTACAAGTCTACTTCTTTACAGTGCAGAAACACTTGCCATTGTTTTAGATCCATTATCTTTTCTGCCTGGCAAAATACTTCTCACAGCTGAAAGTCACTTTTACAAATATCCCATCTTTTCTGGAAGCAGCCGCAGTGTCTCTTTCCACCACTCCCCAGCAGTTTGTTCCTACCTTCAGGTAATTATTGTGTTGGTCATATAGATGCATCTATTGCCTTCCAACTGGACAGGTAGGGATTGTTGCCTTTTAACTCCCCCAGTGCTTTTGACTTGATCGGCACTCAATAATAAGTCAATTGATAAATGGATGATGTGATTATTTAAATTTTTCAGGTTATGGGTGCTGTTGGGTCTCCTCTTGCTCCTTTTCCATTCCCGTCTTCTCCTTATTGCTGCAATACCTTTTATGAAAGAGGGATGGATTTTTGAGAGATGGTAATAAATAGGAGGATCTGTAAAAGGAAAGTCAATTGATTTTCTACTATAGTTCCTTTGGGTGGTGTGTGGATGTGATTTGATAAGACCCTGAGATCATGGGATACTGTGCAGACTTGAATTGTGCTGCCCATGGTAGCACTGAAAATCTAAGTGGGCCAGACTAATGGCAGTGTGGGCTCCTGGATTGGATTTCAGAACAGAAAAAAAAAGGATATTAGTGGAGAAACTGGTGAAATTCGAATAAAGGACCATTGCTAATGTCTTAGTTTTGACAAATGTACCATGGTTACACGATGTTTTACCTTTAGGGGAAACTGGGTGAAGGGTACATGGAAATGTTATGTATTATTTTTGCAACTATTCTATAAATCTAAAATTATTGCAAAGGACAAAGTTTATTTTTAAAAAAGTGGGTGGGCCAGAGTGAAAATTTTGAGTTTGGCTAGCAGACTCTTGCTGCGTGAATATTCTCACATCTAGTTATATCCCAACAATTTGTAGAATAGGTTAAAAAAGAGAACTGCAGGGAAGTTTAAAAACTCTCCTGTAAAAGATTCATGAAAAGGCATCAGAAAAAAATAAAAGCAAAACAAACAAAAAGTGAGACTGTGGGCAGCTGGTTGGGGAGGCCTAATATTAAAGGTGGGAAGCCAAGTGGCTGTTCAAGAGGTGGGTCAATGCAGTGATCCTGGGCTCACCATCAGGATACTGGCTACTTATTTTAGCCCCAAGCACTTGAGTACATCGCTTTGCCTGCATTTGCCCATCTTTGAAATGATCTCACTGAGACTCACAAATAAAGATGTGTAAAACAAAATAATTCCTTACAAAAATCAAGTTTTCCTATTCTCCAAAATTTTGTCATTTTTTGCTCAAGAACAAAAGAGTTCCTCACTTGTGGGCTGGTTATGGTCAAAAACCTCAAAACAGCAAGTCTGATTCTGCATGAGCATTTTCACTTTGCACTTGGCAAGTTTCAGCTTCCTCTTAGAAGAATGTTCATGCCAATGCTAAAGCCATTTGACTTCTAAATATAGTGTAACAGATGTTAATAGGAACTGTATTATTTTCTGTTACACAAAGGGTCTTTCTTTAAAAGCCAGACACCAGTCCAGTTCTGGTTAGGCTCAACCATTTCAATCAAGGTAAATAGGATTTTTTCCCCCTTTCTCAAGTATTGAAGATTTTGGTATCTTACACCGGATTTTCTTAACTTGACCCATGAACAAGTATCCATGCCTAGATACTAGAGAGATTTGTCAAGGCCAGGCACAGTGGCTCATGCCTATAATCCTAGCACTTTGGGAGGCCAAGTTGGGAGGGTCCCTGGAGTTCAGTTCAAGACTAGCTCAGGCAAAATGGCAGGACTCTGTCTGCAGGAAAAATTTTAAAAAATTTGCTGAGCATGGTGGCACACGCTTGTTGTCCCAGCTACTCAGGAAGCTGAGGCAGGAGGATCATTGAGCCCAGGACGCTGAAGCTGCATTGATATGATTGCAGCCACTGCACTTCAGCCTGGTTGGCAGATGGAGAACCTATCTATTAAAAAAAAAAAAAAAAAAAGTTGAATGTGACGTTTCATACATATATCCCTTCTTTCCCCTCTATCGAGTGGTTTCATTCACCTTCAAAGGGTCCAAAACTCAAAAATGGCAAGAAACACTTTTACATACACACCACTCCAACACAAAAAGCCTAAACTATACTTGTTATATTTAGGTTCAGATTCAGTAATCTTAACGTCTAACATTGCAAATACCCAGATACTGGCTGCCTGGTTGATTTCACTTTTTGACCCCACAGCACCCAGCAACTCTGTAGGGCTGCACCTCAATGCGCGTTGGCTTGTAACTGTTGCTTTCTCATAGCTGTGGCATTGTCTTCCTTTCCTGAAAACGTGGATTTTCACTTGAGGCACCTTTGTTCATCCAACCTTACCAATTTAAATGATCTCTCAAGAATACCAAAGTGACTCTGGCTCTTCTTGCCCTTCTAGTCCTTTAAAGACTGGCTATGCTTCTTTACAACACAGGCTGTGACCAGTGAGAACGTGGACTTTTAACCCATTTGAATGAGAATGCCTTATGGAACAAGTGATCTTCTGGCTGGCAGAGCATGAAGCGTCCCAAATGCAATTTAAATGTGCGATCCTGGTGTGATTTCAATGTCTCCCTTAAAGAGGCTTAAGCATGAAATTTCTTGGGCTGTTCCTCAAGAGAAAGGTGCTCTACAAATGAAGCCGAGAATATAAATTTCACTTGGTTTCAGATGAATGGACCGAATTATGAGGCTAAAAATGATACCCTATTTCAGCCCCTTTGGATACTCCTCCCTTCTTCATTTCTAAAATTACTGTGATCTTAACTTCTGGATAATACTTTAGGTTCTCCAGCAATTTAACTTCCCTTTGAAAATGCACCAAAATCTAAGATTAATGTACCCTTTAATGTGGTTCTCTAACAGAGAACAATGTTAATAGACACTACACAAGAGATATGTAGGGGCGCCCAGGCACATTCCCCCCTCCCTTTTTCAGTAGTAGTTATATGATCAAATATAATACTAAAAGACTAAATGCTTGTGGCTCTTTTATATATATTTAAAACACACAGTAAGAACATAAGAACATCTCAAGTCATTTAGAAGGTAAAAGGGGGTTATCAACCAAAATCTTTGGAAATTTCATAAAATTTAAATATCTGCAAATAGTCCAACCAAAAACCAAAAAAACAAAACAAACAAACAAACAAACAAAAAAAAACACCCCAACATTTGGCTATGGAGGGCACTTCACATGTGAACCAAATGGCATTATAACATTTTCCTTCAACTAGTCACTAAACCCAATTAGTAAGAATACAAGAGCAATATTGGAGACATCCCCAAATACCACGTACTTGATTAGAACATTCTGTTATGAAGTGCTCAGCTACCGCGGGCTTTCCTTTACATTGCATACATTACATTTCTACAGTGCAATGTTGAAATAGCCTCCAAATTTTGCAAAGTAGATTGATGTTCATCCTACAAAAATATTAACTTACAGTACATAACACTGAATAATTTTATTCTGTACATTTTTTTCCTTCCATAATAGTTGACACACGTCAGTTTGTACAAGTTAGAAAAAACATCTGGTTGTTTACATCTGGATTAATAGTCAACAGAGGCAACCAGAAGTGGTGGGGCGGGTGTAGTTTGAGAAAGTATAAATACAGTGTTAATATTAACTGTGGTTAACAATATTCAGCTTTTAACAAAGCGATACAAAATAAATCATCTTAGATTTTTGACTGAAAAGATCTAGCTGAGACTGTTCTGCCAAACAGCCGACCAACTGATGCAAAAGGTTAAGGCTGACTTGACTTAGCAACCTGCAGCACAACTGAAAACACTGGTGCAGTTCAGAGCTCTTCAAATGCATAGCTTCAGTGTTACACACACATTAATTATATTCCTTCAATTAGTTAATCCTCTAGACAGTTTTCTTTTTGTTTTGCATGCATCCTGTTCCATTTTCATTAAGGGCATCTCTTCCTTGATCAATCATGTGCTTTGCTTTTCAATTTGTTTTGTGATTTTTTTTGTATGTTTTGTTTGTTAAGCTGTCAATACGTCCAACACTTGGAAAATGAAATATAGATGCGTTTTACTTACAGAAGAGAATCATAGCTATATGGACAATGCAAAATGAAATGAAACAAGTGTCAGAAACAGTTTATAAAAATGGCACATTTATTGCTACAGAACGGTCATGTACATGACTTCATCGAATAACTACAGATGGGAAACAGGTAATGGCCTTGACCAAGCTGGGTTTGTTTTTGTCTTGAAGGAACTCCAGCACACAACCTGTTTGGACACTTCTACAAATCAGAAATACACCAAAAACATGAAAAAATCGAGGCACTCAGCCACACATTGAAAACAAGGTGTAACTGTTTATCTTTTTTTTTTTTGAAATGTTTTCCCTTTTTTTCTTTTTTTTAACAATTTTTTTAAGTTTTTAATGCTGCAGTTTTAATGTGTACAGTCGCAAAAAATTTCCCCGCTGCGACCTACAACTAAAAAAAACAAAAACAAAAACAAAACAAAAAACAAACAAAAAAGCTACCCATACAGTTTCATCTTGGTAACACATGGTAAAATAACATCTTTTAAATAGTAAAATAAAGTAACAAACTTTTACTCATAATGATTCCAAAAATCTACAAAGAAGAAATATTCAGAATCTGACAATTTTTTTTTTGTAATATTCATGGTATAAAAGGATTGCTCCTGCGAAAAATAAGCCAAATATATTTTTTATTTTTAAATTTAGTTTTTTTTCCTACTAGGGTGTACTACAGTCTATTTTATAGCAAAAGAGCACTAGACAAACAAAGCTTTATAACAAAAAGCCAGGCACTGATACATGGTAAATCTCTGCTTTTTTTTTTTTTTTTTTTTTTTTTTTTTTTTTTCCTTATCTTCACTTAATTGCATCACAAGTAACAAGAATGAAAAAGGCCACAGTTCATATATTTTCACCATTACATATGTCTATAATACTTGAAATGAGTATGGCAAAACCAGCACTGCACAAAGATGAGCCCACTTCAAGTCCCATGAGAAAGAGCATGTCTCTAAAGAAAAACAAACAAAACCAAAGCAAAATAAAAAGAGAGGCCTAAAGGCCTTGGTGCCCCATTGTGTTGGAATTCATCATATTCCATCTTGACTTTTTTTGCTTCCAGTCAGCCAGCAGACTAAATTTTTGTGCTTGTTTATGCTGAAATGGATTCATTCCTGACTCAAGTTCACTTTTGGACACAGATCATATTCTGCCTGTTGGATGCAAAAGATGAAAATCCTCTTAACTCCAAGTCTTGGTTCGACTCCCTCCCCGCTCCCCAACCCCTCATCAAAATCAAGATCACAAAAAACAAACAAAACAAAACAAAACAAAACCAAAAACAAAAAACCTCAGAAATAGGAAAAAGTGAAAAACAAAAAGGAATCGGAAGACTGAATCAGAACCAGTTGCACCACTGGGTGGACTGACAGTTGTATAAACATTAGTGTTCCTTGCAGCTACACAGAAGACAAATGGTAAAAATTTCTAGATGAACAGATCCCTATTCTGCATATTCATAAATTACTTGAATGTGGAGGTGGATCAACTGTTCCAAGTTGCTTTTAAAGTCCGAGTTTCTGAAAGAGATCCCCAGCCTAAGTGTTGTCATATAGAGTGTAGTATGGACCCTTCTGAAATGTTTGTATAGTACTTTAATCTTAACTGTCTTCCGCTGAATTTCATTTCAAAATCCAGTGCAGGATACCAATATCTTACCTGGGTTTGATAATTACAAAACAACAACAATAAAAAACACACTAAAAAGGCCACATTCCCTTTTTTCTTTTTCAATGGGGATACAACCCAATTAATATGGGTAGGTGCAGATTGTGTTTCTCCACCAAGCAAAACCTAGCGAGCAGCTTCCGGTGGCCATTAGAATTTTCACTTATTTCCAAAGGGAATTCAACAATAGAGGTATTGCATTACTGAGTAATGAATACATCAAAGCTGGTGAACAATAAATTGCAGCTTTTACTCTGAGTGAGAACAAAATATAAAGCACCAATTTAAAAAATAATCAAATGACTACAATTTACTTTTTTGCTTTGTTTACAGATTTGAAAAACTTTAATTCAGCTCTATTAAGCACCTTTATGATAACATGTATCAAAAGTGCCATTCTTAAAATGTACATCAATGCAGGGAGTGTTTCCAGTTCCCTAAAGAGTAAACACCATATTTTCTTCTGTACACGTATCCTGAATGTGATCAGAGTATACCTGCTTCCTATATAATATTGTTCCTAGGGATACCCGCCTTGGTAGACTATACAGAATGAGTGCAGAATGTACCACTAAAAGGAAATCTTTAACATACGGAGGGAACAAGTACACATGGTTTTCATTATTCAGGGAGGAGGGGAGAGTATACATTATTGTCTTCCATGCCCTTCTCTGAGCCTCTTTGTTCATACATTTCACAGGAAAGTCCCAAAATAACTTTTCATGAAGTTTGATTTCTGCTATTCTCCTAAGGTTTTAATCCACCTCCACATTTTAGGAACTTATCAACAAATCAAAGTTATTTTAGTTTTATCGCTACTGAACATATTTACAGTTTTTCAACACACACACAGCTAATCAAAATGTTTATGGGTTTGTGGTAACTATCTTATTTGTTCTTACATTTTCAGAAATGAACATAAAATTCTGATTCTTGTAGCTCACTATTTCATTTAAATGAGACTTCTTTTTAAACCACACAGTTAAAAAAAAACAAAAACTGATACAATGTATTAAAACACATAATAACAAGAGTCTACATGTAAAAATATAACTTTTACATACACAATTTCAAAATAATGATACGTTTGCCATTTGTTGCATAAAATTTACAAATGTATTTCATTACTATATAACTGGCAAAACAGGAGAACAGATGGAACATTTAGACCATTTCAATGGATTTATGGCATTTACTCAGTGCTGATAGGTGGAAAAACTACTTGAACAGGGATTTTTTTTTCTTAATACATGCCAAGAATTGTGTGGCTGTAAAAATAGAAACGAGTTAGAGACAAAAGGATGCTGACAAATACTTAACTAGGAGCACTATTTGTTTACTGCACTATACACCAAAGTCAATCATTATAAAGATTCACGATGGAAGTTGGTTCAATTGTGCCCAGACGTCAAAGCTAGCTATCTGATGAGTCGCTGTGCCATAGCTTGATCTATGTTTCTATCAAATATGGTAAGTATAAACTTCATTCATACTGGCCAGAGAAATACTGCACTACCCCTCCTCAAAAAAGTGCAACTTAATGCTTTAGGACTTATAAGGCTTGTTATAATGCTGCATGATGATTGAATATTGGCATTTTTCAGATGAAGGAGGAGGCAGTTAAGTCATCTACATTTTAGTAAACCCATTTTGAAAAAAAAAATCAAGAAAGCAACAAAATCAATCAGCTCTGCCACACTACTTGCAATTTTCTCATTTGACGGTTTTTGAACTTTACTTGTTTTTTTTGTTTTTGTTTTTTTCCAAAAATCTGACCATGTATTCAGAAACGCCTCACTGCACACTACTTCGGCTACACAGGTAGGTAACACTTTAATCATTTTGTTAAATCACAGCCACTTTGATTATGTTATGTTTCCGATGATATAAACATTGGAAGGCACAGTGGTAACATTGTAGCATTCTAACCTTGTACCTCTGAAAATCCCAGAATAGGGTCACAAATGCAACATTACAATTCAGACAAACTCTTTTTGCCATGTCTTGGTAATGCTGCTTGTAATATCTACACATGATGTGACTTTTAAGTCCTGTGTTCCCAAAAGACTGGAGAAACAACTTTCTACTTATTTATGAATGAGAAGCAACATCAGGGTCAGCATTTCATCCTGCACTACCCCTCTGGAAGCAGAGTTGGCACTACAGGTTACGATAACAAACCAGGGAAAGGGACAGAAATAAGACAAAAAAAAAAAATCCATATTTACAGTAAAATCTTTCTTTTAAAAAAGTTAATCAGTACTATTTTTTTACAGGAGAAAAAAGTCTGAAACAAATGAACAAAAGCTTACCATAGTCACTAAATTTTTAATATATATTTATATATATATTTATATATATATTTGTCATAGGTCTATAAGATCCATCTGTTCCTCCTACCCTAAGGAATGGCTAATGTCATCACTTCGTTGTCATCAGGACGTTTGCTGGTTTTGTTACTAGGGCAGCCGAGCTTCCCCTAATTCAATATCCAGTAATTATAAACACTAGCTGACTTGAATACCAACAAAAACGTTCATGTAGTTTTCTTCAGAAGTACACTTTTTCATTATTGCAAGTTTACAATTTTTTTTTTAAATTAAATATTTTTTTTCAGACTTACAAATTAATTATATTTTTTTTTTTTCCAAAAGAAGTTTAGGCACAAATGCATTGTTCCACAGTGTGGAAAGATTGCCGTTCAGTCTCTGGGCTGTGTCTCAGCCTGTACATACTGCTTTGCACATTCTGAATGATATGTTAAAGAAAGTCGTCCCTCAAGTTGCACTTTTTTCTTTCTTTTTTTTGTTTTTCTGTTTTTTGATAATTGGGAATGCTGAAACCTCTTGCGTCTGCGATTCATAACTACTCAGACTTGTCTTATATTACAAAAAAGGGGGTTAAGGAGAAGTGTTTATGTGGGTTTAAGATAATACAGCTGTTAAGGAAGTGGTCTCTTGTTTTAATGAAGCAATGTGGCAACTTGGACCTGAGAAAGGAAAAAAGAGAAAAAAAATTCATTAATATATTTGTAACAGAGGAAGCGTGCTGCTGCTTTTTTTTTTTTTTTTTTTTTTTTTTAATTCTTTTTCCATGAAAGAAAGTATCTGTCAATTTGGGTAAAATTCACTTTTATAGCTGATACACTGGTGACAGTTACGAATGATCGGTTTCAGAAATGTTGAAAACAAACTTGCCCTTTTACATCTGTCCCATGTGATTCGATGCGTCTCCCATTCCAGGGTGTGGGCCGGCCAAGGAGAGTGGGGGAGGCTCTGAGGACACCTTCTCTTCCTCCCTTCTTTTCAGACATGCAGCTTTCGGATTCAGATTCCTTTCTGTGGAGGATTAAAGCACAGGACCTTTGTTTAATGCTGAGGCTTCTGGCAGAGGGCAGCAATGCACTCTTCTTGCGTGTCTGACCTTTTTCTCAGTGTTTATATTACAGAACAAAAGGAACAGTTACTACGTACTGTGGCGATCCATTTGGTCAGTCACTAGTAAAAGGTGAACTGCATGTGAGTGTGTACAGCCACTTTACAGCAAGCAAAGGTTGGTAAAGCAAATAAACTAAGCTCCAATTACTGAAAGGATATAGGGAAAGTTGCAATATAATCTTAGTTATAAGAATCCTACAACTTAATTACAGGAGAAAGGGATGCTGCCTTACTTAAGGATTTAGACACAGTCTGCAATGGAAACAATTCTTTGGAATGACGCTTGAAGGTCTACTGTCTGCCACTGCTCAAGGCTGGCATGCCCATCTCAGCTTGTGCCTGCCACAAGCTCCTCATGAGTTCTGCAAGGAGGCCGGCCTGCACTGACCTCGGACTTGCTGCTCCAGACTGAGGATGACCGCCACCGCCTGATGGAGGATCAGGAGCTTGGTCTGGGGCTTGTCACTCTTGAGGTGGAGCTGCACCATGCGGCCGAGCTCTTTGAAAGCCTCGTTGATGTCACGGACCCGCAGGCGCTCTCGGGCGTTGTTGGCCATTCTCCGCTCCTTCTCACGCTCCGCCTTCTGCTCCGGTGTCAGGTCCTCATCGTCATTATTGCTGTGGGACAAAAGGGATGCAACATTTTCTAATGGTGTGGGGAAAAAGAAGGTGTCTACATTGTTTTCTTCCAGAGTTTTCAGGGAACTTTTCCATCTTATGCCATGTCTTTGGCAGAATTTTTATATCCACTGGACCTTGCAACTTGGCTGTGACAGTTCACAATACACAAGATACTTGGTTTTCTCACAGACATTAAACCCAAACCAAACAGGTGAGAGTGACGTAGATTAAAGTTAGAGTGCGGAGTGTGCCCATACTGATACAGGGGGGCAGAAAGGAGAAACAAAGCTTTTTTTATTCAATGGGGTTACACTCTGCAAAGCAGGCGTTCACCAACTTACGCTTAGCATATGCTGCATAACCATGCTTCAAAAAGACTTTATGTTTATACTTCATTTTTTTAATATAGAGAAAACCTTTCATACCGTGACATCTGAAACCTAGGGGAAACAAGTAATTGAAAAATGATTTTGATAGGTCAAAAAAATACAAGGCAGCTTAACAGGAGTAAGAAGAAAGGCCTATATGTAAGACACCAGAGCAGTGGGAGTGAAGACAGTGAGGCTTTTATCCAGGTATCCCCATTACCTTGCTTTGAAGGCCTGGTCAACCCACTATGTAATTCTCATTTTCTCTATGTATGAAATAAAAGGTTAGGAAAACATGACTTCCATGGTCTTTAATCTTATAGATGTTTATGATCCCCAGAACAAGTTTGGGAAACCTGAATTGATATCAGCCATGCAAAATGATTAAAAAAACCAAACACCTACAGCTTATGAATGATCATGACCTCATTGTGAGTCAAAAATGAAGCCAGAAAGCTGGGTGCAGTGGCTCATGCCTGTAATCCCAGCCTGGACAATATAGTGAGACCTCTTCTCTATAAAAAATAAAAAAATTAGCTGGGCACAGCGATGCACACCTGTAGTCTCAGCTACTCAGGAGGCTGAGGTGGGAGGCTCACTTGAATCTAGTAGGTGGAGGCTGTAGTGAGCTGTGATAAGGCCACTGCACTCCAGCCTGGGCAACAGAGCCAGACTCTGTCTCTTACCAAACCAAAAAAAAAAAAAAAAAAAAAAGACAAACACTAATTTCTGATTGTGAAAACGAAAATATTCCATGATTCATAACAAAGACATGGCTGGGCCCAGAATAGTCTGAAAAGATAAGATTGGTTCTGTCCATTTCTGGGTGTCACAGTGACAAATTAGAAACTTCTGAATGGAAGGCAAAGAGGATGATGAACCACCTGGAAAGCATATCATATGAGGAAACCTTCATGGCAGCACGGCTCAAATATTCCAAGAGCTATCATGTAAAAAAGAGAGATGTGCACAATGTCTTGTCTCAAGAAGGCAGAACGGCATGTGCTACAAAGCTCCGAATGACTATTATGAATAAACGTAAGTGAGGATTTTCGGGGGGCTTATGAGAGATACAAAAAATGAAACAAACTTCACTGAACATCAGTAGACTTCCCATCACAAGAAACTCCATGGAAGTGACTAACAACCTACGGGGTAATTTCACACATCAGAAATGTTCACAGAATAAAGATGATTAATCACAACATTTTGGAGTTGGAAGATGTGGGAAATTATCTAGTCAATTCAATGTATACTTAATGAATGCTGGTTTAAAATTTATGACTCTGGTCTTCCATTTTGGAGAATCTCTGGGTAACTTCCAAGTGGCAATAAGGACCAACTACACTTGAGAAGCTCCAATCAACCAAAAGTGAGAGTGGTATTCCTGGGTTGCAAGTACACGTTACACATAAAGATGATGCACGAGTCAAGAACACTTGGGTGAAGGAGAAAAGTTAGGGGCAAGGAGGATGACACCACAGAAGGACGCTGTAAGACCAGGCTCCTCTCTCTCCATAGCATAAGTGCCTTTCCAGAAGGCACTGTCTGCCACAGGTGTGTATGGTAAACAGGCAACTCAACTGAATCCACTGGAAAAGGCCCTCTTTCTCGGCCTTCTACCGATCCCTTCTCTGCCCTCATCCCCGACTGCTGCCAGTGCCAAGGAAATCAAGTAACAATTAATTCACTCCTATATTCTACTATGCAAATAGGCTGTAAAAAGCAAAAGAAAACAGTCTCTGCCAGGCCTGTCCGGAAGCTAAGCATTTGGGTGATATTTTTATACATCCAACATGTGCCACACCTTACACAAAGGAGACTGGAAAATGGGAACTTTTCTTCCAAAGGTTTTCAGGCCAATAACCAATTAGAATTGGTTATTCACTTATAAACAAACTGGTTATGCAAATAAAACTGCCTAGATTTGAAAGGCACTGCCTTGTAATACAGTTTTGGAGGCATACAGAAGTAAGTGTCATAAGAGTGACCTTTTTAAATAAGAAGGTTCTCAACAGCGAGTGAAAATGTTGTTCTGAAACATCAAAGGATCCATTAACATGCATAAGTTTGGCCACAGTAAGTTAAATTACCAAGAACTGACTGGTCTAACACAGAAGTTATTAAAGGTATGAAATTCCCTCCTTGGGATTTCTTGCCAAAGTGGCCAAGAATCAGAAAACGATGAGGAAGGAAAGGGGTTATCTAGAAGCATTTGGCATTTTTAAACTTCTGGCAGAACATGGAATTCATCTAAGTAATTACGAAGGTAACGTGAAGAGGCAGCATGTTCTTAATTCACAAAAGATTCCAAATAGAACCTTGAGAACCACAGCCTTTAGATGGAAAAGTTGTAGTCTTAGGACACTTGGTTGAATTTGTGAATAAAAACAACCCAAGGGAATTGAGGTAAACTACATGGGTGCTAGTATTCAAACACCATCTGATTACCAGATTCAAGTTCAAGGAGATATAGATTCGAATTTAAAGATAGCAGATATTTAAGAAAACCAGACAGAAGCTATTTTCCTGCAGTTGTGTTTTCTGCAGAAAAGAGTGTCCAGGAGGAAAAATCATTAGCAATTTAGGTATTACTCATACACATCTGCATGTTTAGGATAAATCTAGGAAATCAGTATTTTCTCACTTTAGAGGTAAGAAAAGAGTTATAGTTGGCACATACATCAATTGAGTTTTTAACACGGCTACAATCTCTTTTTAGAAATATTATAGACACAACATTTCTGACCAAATTTGTAGAATAAGTATAGTTTTAAAAATAAACTGTACTTGAATCAGATACAAATTGTTTTCACTGTGTGTCATTAGCATTGGGTCCAGATTCATAAATGCCAAAACATTTTAGGCTCCACTAGAGTACAGGTATCTTAAACGATACTTTTAGTACTTCTAGAGTAGGCCTTTAATTTTCTTTTCAGCTGTAAATCTACCTGCCAGGAAAAAACTGAATAGTTTCTTCCCGTTCTGTTCACTTCATCAAAGTCCAATAAAGGAATTAAATGAAGCGACAGTATTATATACTGTTACCTAGATCTTGACCTAGTAATTGATTTGATATCCTTCTTGTCGTCATCTAATTTCTTGTCCTCCGAAGATTTCGTGTCTTGCAGGTTCTCATCGCCCTCGTCGTCGGATTTGATCTCAGAGCTGCCAGAGGAGACACTCTGCCCCTGTAGTCCTGGTGGCATGCCTACAGAAAAAGAGGAATCAGGTGATATGTACACCAACATCTCACTGCCTGCCCACCAGATTGCAAGGCTGCCAGCAGACAATTCATACTGCTGAACTGTGATCCTTCTGTCACTTTTTTTTTTTTCCTGCTATCTGTTGAAGTTTCAAAAAATGCACCTGCAGAAACAAGTTTTCCCTGCATTGGCTCTAAGGTTAAATTCTATTTTGCAATCTTTTGGAGTAGATGGTAATTTCACTGTCTACAAAACATCAACTTAATTGCAATGAAAATCATAATCATGAAAATCACACAGCCAATGTTCTGATTAAGAACCCAAGTAAATATCAGCTATTATATTGAGTTTCTTCCATATGCAATGATTTAATAGGAAAATGTCCTTAAAATATAATTCCCAGGGAGTATGCTAAATATGTGCAGTCAAGACTTCAATAGGTACCCTAATGATATTCTGAAATTAGGCTTCTCTTATTCTCAAGGAGTAATCAGCATTTTAAAATGGTACATATGGAAGGCAGTTTGCTACTCATTTTAGAAATTTCTAGCTTTATCATTGCTCAACTTTCCAAGTCACACTGCATTTTAAAACACGATCCTAATGTAATAAATTTTTTAAAGGTAGAACTGTATCTGTCAAGTATTCCCCCTTATTTGTAATCTGTGTATTCTAGAATCTTGCCACTCAAACTTTGGTCCATGTGGCCTCATCACCTGTGAGCCCATTAGAAATGGACAATCCCAGACCTACTGAAGCAGAATCTGCATTTTAACAAGATCCTCAGGTCGTGCTTATGTGCAGTCTGAGAAGTACAGATTTCGGACAAAGAGGACAAAACCCAAAGGCTCTTGATAAGAAAGGTCCTGGCCAGGTGCAGTGGCTCACGCCTGTAATCCCAGCACTTCGGGAGGCTGAGGCACATATATCACTTGAGGTCAGGAGTTCAAGACCAGCCTGGCCAACATGGTGAAACACTGTGTCTACTAAAAATATGAAAAATAGCCGGGCATGGTGATGCATGTCTGTAATCCAAGCTACCTGGGAGGCTGAGGCAGAACTGCTTGAACCTGGGAGGTGGAGGTTGCAGTGAGCTGAGATCGCACCACTGCACTACAGCCTGGGCAACAGAGTGAAGCTCTGTCTCAAAAAAGTCCATAAAATCATACTATTCATATAAAATGGGCAGATATACCCATACATAAAATTGACACTCAGATCTGTACAATGTTGAACAGTTGAAAAAATGCCCACATGTATTCCTGTGGCAATGTTATCATTTTTGTATTAAACGTGAAGGGACTAGAAGATGTTATCTAAGTGACTCCTAGTCAGCTGGCCAATAGCAGCCCAACTTCCTGGGGTCATGAAAAGCTGCTCACAGTCACTGCTATGAGGCAATCATTAGAGGGCTAGATGACTCAAGAACGAAAATCATGCAACTGCAACCAAGCTCCATTTGTAAAATGCACCTATATTTCCTTCCATCTGAAACAACAACAACAATTTCCTTCCTTCCTATTCATTTGGAAATATCATTTTCAGGCCACAACTAACCACATTAGAGGACCTGAATGAGAAAAATGTGGAAATAGCTAAAATAAAATTTCCTCTCATCAGTCTGTGGCCTCATTCCTGGCTGATAGAGGACCAGGATTTCAGAGGATGTTTGAGGAAAACAGTCCCTGGAGAAACATGATTAGCGGGCGAAGTTCTAAATACTTTCCCATTTCCTTACCATTTTTGTGCCCAATTGGATTCTTGGGTTTCTGCCAGTGCTTCTTGAGGGATGAACACCAAGAGGCTGGGTATCAATACAGGGCCTATTGTGAAAGTGAGGTCAGAAGTGCCCTGGTGAGGCCAACCTACCTCTGTAAGGGTCCTGGGGTGGGTTCAGGTCAGGGGAAGTCGCAGACTGGACAGGAAGCTGTGGGACTGGAACCTGGTTTGGCAGAAGAGAATGGCTGCCTCTCAGGGCCACACCATCTTCACGATGGGTCCCCACCTGAAAGGGGCGAGAGGAACCAGAGAGGTGAGCAGGAGCCAGAGGTGTGACTGCTATTTCCAGAGGCCACGAGGACCTGATGAAAGCAGGCTGGCTTTTCAAAAACCATACTCCCAAACGCATTTCACTAGAGGGCGCTGAAGGACCGCACATGCACCTATAGTTCCCGGCGAAAACACTTAACACTCAGTAAGACGCCGTGCTGTACATTCAGTGACAAATATGGCAGAGTAGCTCAGGCAGGTAAAACGTCAAATTGTCTCCCAGGGTGCTGCAGTGGAGCGCACTGATTCGTACCCATCTGTCTTCTATCATGTCCGCCAACAGATCTGACAATTATCTTAATGCCCATATGCTTAATTGTGGGCTTCTCAATTCCCCCATTGCTATCGGAAATCCTACAGGAATTTCAATTTGGCATTCGACTTTCATTTCAGGGGATAAGATTCTCAGGCCTGCCATTTTTTTTTTTTCCATAATGCCAGCTAAGCCTCTGACAGCGGAAGCTACAGCAGTATGGGACACAGCCTCTGCTTGGTACAAATATAATAAAATGTCACCTGGCTTTCCAAAACTGGCAGCCCATTCCAAATTAATGTTTACTGTATTTCATCAGCTGCTGAGTTTCAAATCCAAAGGGGGATGGTTTCTGCCAATGCCACCACACCGGAAAATGTACCAATAAAGGTTTTATTAAACACACCAGTAATGCCATCATTGCCATGCAAGGATGTTTGGACATTTTTCCATTTTTCCCCTCACTATTCTGATCCTAGAAAGACACCATATTGTAAATACTCTCGATGCTTCCAAAAATAAAATTATAGAGTACAGCATGATTACTTGATTAAAAAAATACTGCTGAGCTTTTTATTAACTACTGCTATCTACTCTAGGGTCCAGAGACACTGTACTTGCGGCACTGAGACAGCAACTGCCTACTTTATAGCATATGCCTTCAAGCAAAAACATTAAGCATTTATAAACTAAGAGGACAATGAGTAGTTCACATTTTCTTTTCTATTTCCAAGTATTTTCTTAGCCTATGGTTAAGTAAGCATTTACACAGGACGGTGAGTCTAAAACACAAAAAATTAACCATACATTTAGACTGCTATGAATCAGGTTTATTTTTTTCCAGTCAAAAATATGAAACCAGAAAGGAGAATCTTCACTCTTTTGTTACCAAAATATTTTAAAAGGGTATTTCCAAAGAATGCATCAATAATAAGAATCTGAACCAACAACAATCAAATTCATAGGACCTAATAAACACATGCTATTTAAAGGCAGGTATGTATTGTAAGTATCGCCTACAATATTTTGCTTTTTACTGAAAATATATTTAAGTAAGTGATCCTGAAATATGCCATTTTTATATTCATGTGTACGTGCGTGTGGTGTGTGTGTGTGTATATATGCACTCCAAAATATTTTTTTAAATTTTGGGTGGAAAGGATCACATAAATCATAAATCATATTGTTTGGATTCAAAATACAGCAAGAATAGGAAAAGACTTGAGGCTTATGAGCATCAGGAAGTATCAATAAGTGTTTCAGCAGAGAGAGGTGGGAAGTCCAGCACTGCTGCCCGGTGCCTGTGTCGCAATACAGAACTTTCTGAATGGTGGTTATGTGGCCTCTATGGGGTGCTTCAAATGTACTGAGACTGGTATCTCCCAAAGCAGCCCATTCCATTTTTACCACAAATTGGCCTCTTTGTAGATTTCACTCACTGATCCTAGAGCTCTATGGCATTAAGTACAGACCTTTTTTCAAAAAAAACATATTCAACCCTGTTGCCTGCCACACCACTCCTTTTCTCTGTGACTGAAGTCTGCTTCAGTCTACAGGCAGACCACGCCCACCTGCTCCTGCAACCATTTGTAACTGACTCTCCTATATATTTTAATTTTTATTCAGAAGAGTGATAGCTATTTTCCATTGAGGTTTTGATTTGCTGTTTTTATACTCATGCATTAGAAAATGGATTCAATCAATGATTATCCTTTCAATCTAAGATGTCAACTTGTAAGCATGAATTTTTACAGGCCTTGATAAAATGGTGGCTCTTTATGTCTGTCAATCAATATTTAAATAATTCTTTGTGCTGATTCATATTTATTTATGTTCCCAATGGATGTAATTTCTTGAATTTCCACAAAGGATGACTCTAAGTCAAAATCACTGAAAGTAACCACAGATTTGAGCATAGAGGAGAAGTATACTCCTATTTCAGAATCATTAACACTCTCAAGACTTATTTGCAAGCATCTGTGACATATCTTAAGGTTAATGTTTTGCTTTTTACTTAAAATATATTCAGTTATTGATCTTGAAATGTTTTTCCTCTAGATCACATTGAGGTAAGTTCTTAAAAGAGGAAAAGAGAACCCACGGAATCATACATGACAACTGGTATATAACAGGTACATAATAACTGCAGACAGAATCGTGTGTTTTGACCGAAAATACTTGCATGTTATATAGAAAGAATAGCCTGTGTAGTTCAAGAACACTCAAAACTCAGGCTATCTTCACTTACGGTGATCTTTGTCTCTGTTTTGTTAAAATCTATTTAATTTTAAATCTTTCTTCTATACAATGACTATAAACTCTTAAATATTATAAATATATTTGAGGATATAGTTGTTCCAACTACATTTTTGTTTGGATTTTAGGCCCATATGTTACCTAACTCCATCTATTTTCTATAGATCATGTTAGATCATCTCAATATCAATCATTTTCCATAAAGAATGATAGAGACAAAGTTGTTCTGATGCTTTTGTTTTTTAAAATTTAAATTTTTTTTTTTTTTTTTTTTTGGAGACAGTCTCGCGCTCTGTCGTCCAGGCTGGAGCCTCTGCCTCCCAGGTTCAAGCGATTCTCCTGCCTTAGCCTCCCAAATAACTGGAATTACAGGTGCCCACCACCACACCCGGCTAATTTGTCGTGATGTTTTAAGACTTCCCTTGTAACTGTGTCTATTCCAGGTCATGTGAATGACCTCGGATAGGTCCAGAGCCATGTAATAATGAGCTTGATCTCCAGGATAGGATCAATTCCATTGCCCGTGGCTGTGGAATGGTATTCCAATTTGAAGAATTGGCTTGGCTTTGCTTGTTTCCTTGGCCACAGATGCCATGTTCTAACCCTGTTTACTTCTCTTTCAGAAACATTATTTCTGGTCACATGAGAGACAAGGGAAGAAACACGGTGGATGGTCAGCACAAATCCATCACTAGAATAACACAGAAATAGATGGAGAAACCCACACTGTTCTCTGTATATACAAGGGTCAGGGATTGTCCACTGGCATTAAGGTGGCCCATTCATAGGATGACCCATGTCTGCTTCAAATTGAGCTGGGCCATCCAATGATCTTGGAATTCTGAACTTCAATACGTCACAATGTGACTAGGAAAAAGGAGATTCCTGCAAATCAATTCTAAGAATGACATTTGGTCCCTATTTTTAGAAAATCTGTACTTCATTAAAGCCCTATTTTGATAACCTTTTCATAGAGATAACAGTAGTCTAAAGTTAAAAGCCAGCTTATGAAAAGTTAATTAACACTCATTGTAAATGTGAATCTTTCCATAGTCATGTATAATGCAGTTTTAGTGACAGCTATGCTAAAAGAAGTGAAATTTTAAAATTATTCAATGATTATTCATTGATTGATCAGAGCATGCATTCAACAAACATTTTCTAATCTAGCCCATGCCTGTCACTTTGTGAGACACTGGGGACAGAATGAGAAATAACTCAGATGTGGTCCTGGTTTTTGTGGAACTCATAATGATTCTTGGGCGGATTTTTGTACACTGATCAATTTAGTGGGGGCAGTTTTAATAGTAAGGAAGAGAAACCTATTTGAGATTGTTCAAATAAAAGGAGATTTATCATAAAGAGTTTTCTGTAGCTTAGGTTTTAGACTCAGAGAGCTCTTGGGAACCGAATGACACTCCTTGCCTCTGCTGGGCTATTCAGCCTCTCTCCTCTCTCTGGGGGCACCACTGCTTCTCTTCGGCTTCTGCTCTCTCATGAGGACATATTGGACTCATTCTTCATGATACCTCGTGGTGCATTCCTTCTGGTTCTGTACCTGCTGCTGATTTCCTCTTTGTCTTCGTATTTCTAAGCTTAGAATGCCAAGATCATTGGATGGCCCAGCTCACTTTGAAGCAGACATAGGTCATCCTATGAATGGGCCACCTTAATGACAGACATTTTCCTGGTCCAGAGAGCTACAAAGGAGGAAGGGGAGACAAGATCATGTAGTCCAAACACAGCCAGCTTGGCCTGTCCCGTCCACATTTTGGCTGGTACGTGTAGCTGTAAATATCTGAGTTACACTGTATATTAGGTCAAATTATACTCAAATTCCAACACATCTATTTAAATTCTCCTGTGTGAATTTGTCATTGGATATAATTAAATGTCATTAGATATGCAATAATTATTTTGAATCATGTAAGCACCATATAATTTTAAATAACCTTAGTTTCCAAGAAAGGGCTTGATAAACTGATAGAAGCACTTTTAAATCATAGAACTTAGACATCAAGGGCTTAGAGGACCTTCGTTATATATCAGTTAGGTCAGACTCTTCATTTTACAAAGAAAGCTAAGGTCAAGAATGGTGAAGTGACTTAAGATCTAACTTTAGATGTTTAGTTAGAGATCTAAAACAGATTTTGAACTCAGAAAACTTACAACACTGAACAATTATATAGGAGAGGGGAGCAGAGTTAGGGGGCAAGAGGGGTTTATTTCCCAGAGCTTTTGTTTTAAAACAGCGCACGTGTGTGTGTGTGTGTGTGTATGTCCATACATGCACATACACACCTAAGTACAAGCATATGACATACATATATATACATACATATACAGATATAGGAAAATCATTTCCATTTTCTTTATTGTAGGGGGGAAATCATAGCTCATTAACTCAGGCCAAGGCCAAGATGTCTAACTAAATTATAAAATTTAAT